ACACCCCAAGGGGGGGAGCTCTCAAGCACTTCTCTAGAGCTCCCTTCCCTTCTCTCCCTCAAATTCTCTTAGTTTCCCTTTGTAGTTCTCAATTGTTGTAATAAGATCATTCTATTAAATTTTCTTTGTACTAAATATCAAACACTTTTCCTTTCTCTTCTTCTAAATTCTTCAAATACTCTCTTCTCCAAACACTTCCCAAACACTTCTCCCATTTCCTTCATCAAATTCTCTAAAGTTCCTAAACACTCTCTTCCAAAATCCACAAAGCTCTCAAAACACCTCTCTACTTTCTTCTCCAAATCCTCCAAGTTCTCAAACACTCTCTTCCAAATTCCCCATGTCTTAAACACATTCCCTTCCAAAATCCTCAAAGCTCTCAAACACATGTTCTTCCAAAATTCTCTAAAGTTCCCAAACACTTTCTTCTCCCTCCTCAAAGTTCTCAAACACTTCCTTTCTTCCTCAAAGTTCTCTTAGTTTCCTTAATGTTTTCTTAGTTGTAATTTATTTTTCTTGTAATGTACATTCTTTCTTCTTGTTTTGTTCCTTTTGTTTTCATTTTTGTTTTGTGTAGGAAAATTGAATTGGATCATTCAATCACCAATCCCTGTGGAATCGACCTCGCACTTACATATGCTAAACTACCAACGGCTCGTGCACTTGCGAGTATCACAAGTTGAGGATGCAGCTGAATCCATTTTGGTGCAGCTGAATCTACGCAACAGTGGATCACAGCCTAATAAATCAAGGTTTTGGTGGGGCCTTTCCTGTTTATATCAAAACAGAAATGGTTTTGTGTTAAGTTCGTTAGATGGTTTATTGTCTTTGAAGTATTTGAATCTGAGTAATCGTGGACTTTGTGAAGGGGATCTTCCCAGTGATATTGGCTGCTTGTCCTCTTTAGAAGAATTAAAGCTTAGTGGAAACAATTTTGTTAGCCTTCCTGCAAGCATTGGATGTCTTTCTAAGCTTCAGAAGCTTAAAGTGAAGAGGTGCCAAAGGCTTGAATAATTGCCAGATCTTTCTAAGCTTATCTCATTAGTGAATATAAACATAGCCGGTTGCACTTCCTTAAAAATGTTACCACATCTTTCGTCAAATTGCTCATTAGTGGATATAAACAACGAAATACATTTTCGTATTTGTTTTAATTGTACCAATTGCTTTGTATTGGTTGACAATGAAGGCTGCGATAGTATAATACTGAAAATGCTACAGCGATACCTTCAGCTTCAGCTTCAGGTTCTTTCTCTCTGTCTATCTCTCTTTTGTTGTTTGCTATAATAATAATTACAACTTACTAACCTCATATATATCTATGCAATGGTACAGCTAATCCCCAGGCTTCTTTACGGATTCGACATTGTAACTCCTGGAAGGGAAATTCCAGAGTGGTTCAGTAATCAAAGTTTGGGAGATTCCCTAACTGTGGAGCTACCTCTGGATTCATGTACCACGTGGATGGGAATTGCTTTATGTGCTGTGTTTGAAGTTCAGGCTCATCTTTCTGAATTTCAACGTTTTATAATTACATGTTCCTTACAAGGAATGCAGCGTGAATTTACAAATTGTTTTCAAAAAGGCGATGTTGTGTCACCTCACCTTTGGGTAATTTATGTACCTCTTGAACAATTAGAGACGAAATGCGGTCAGATAAAGGTTTTGTTAACAACTGATTATGATCGTTATGAACGAATACGGCGGATGTACGAAAAATCTGGCACGTGTGAGATGAAGTTTGGGTTTCGTTTGGTGCACAAGCAAGATGTGGAACAACTCAACCAGATCATGATGAACAAATCCATCATCAAGAGCACTACTATTTGTCCTACCAAATCAGCTGAAGCACAAGGTCAACAAAACCACGATGACGAGGACGCTGGTCCTAGGGGAAGTGGTAGCTCTCACCAAAAATCTCTCTTCTGCAATACCTATGCTCATTCCGAAGAGGCAGACCAAGATGAATTAAATGATGATGATGATGATGTTGTTGACGAAGCTCGGCCCAGAAAAAGAAAAAAGATGGATGTGTTTGGGACTGACCTATGATTCCTCACTTTCAAAGCAAGAGGCATCACAGCTGCTGCATTTCAATTCAATGTGAGTTGCTGCTTTTGCTGGTTCTCCCACTGTTTTTTTTATTTGGCTCTATATTCCTTGTTTTGTTTAGGAGAAAATCTGAATTTCTCTCAACTTGTAAAGATTTTCTCCCTCTTTTTAATGACTGCACTTTTTATGAAAATTTTCAACTAGAGCATGGGGACTTTTGATTTGGAGGGTAACCACTTTGATATGAATAAAAAACACAGCTTTACACAGAGAGAGAGATAAAGAATGAGTGAATATAAAAAAGGGTGAAATTAAAATAAGAAAAAAAAGAAAAAAGAAAATGGAGCTGTAATTTAAAAGTTGGTTGTAATTTAGTTTGCTTCATTATAAATTTGGTTGTAATTTTAAATTTAATGTTGGATTATTTTATTATTTTATTATTTTATTATTTTATTATTTTATTATTTTATTATTTTATTATTTTATTATTTTATTATTTTATTATTTTATTATTTTATTATTTTATTATTTTATTATTTTATTATTTTATTATTTTATTATTTTATTATTTTATTATTTTATTATTTTATTATTTTATTATTTTATTATTTTATTATTTTATTATTTTATTATTTTATTATTTTATTATTTTATTATTTTATTATTTTATTATTTTATTATTTTATTATTTTATTATTTTATTATTTTATTATTTTATTATTTTATTATTTTATTATTTTATTATTTTATTATTTTATTATTTTATTATTTTATTATTTTATTATTTTATTATTTTATTATTTTATTATTTTATTATTTTATTATTTTATTATTTTATTATTTTATTATTTTATTATTTTATTATTTTATTATTTTATAAATATAATAGCATACATACATTTTTATGTTGAAAAAATAACATACTTATTACTTCTTTTACGAAAAATAATGTACGTAGTATAAATTTACCTATTATTCAAATAATATACATGTGTGGTTTTGCTTTGCCTGTGTAGAGAATCTTTTGCTTCTGTGATAAGGCTTTATGCTTTGGGTGTGGTCCATATTTGAATATGGGGGTCTTGTTGCTTTGGTACTTTGGTTTTTGTCAGTGTGTGGTTTTTTTGCTGTCGGAAAAAGGGATGAATATTGTGGTGGGGAGGTTACCTCTAACCAAGGGTACTACACTATGGCTAGGGTAGGCTCTAGCCTATTGCAAGGTTTGGCCAAAAGGAAATTTAATATTAATTCTAAGGCATTAATACCGCATTTCACAAAAATTAGCAAGCAAAAATTATTCTATATTATCCATACATATCTCTGGTTACTCATATCACAAACATTTCAAGTTTCAAGCTTTCTCCCTTGAGAAAATGAATGGAATTTTATTTAGATCTTTACCTACATAACAAGTCCATACCTATAAAAAAAAATTAAATTCACCTTTGTGTCTAACAACCCACCATACGTCAAATTCAAAGATGCATAGACCGAGTTGAAAAAAACAAAAGAAAGGTTATGACAAATATTTGTGATGTTTACGAAACTATGAGTTATACTCGTTTATCTTTTTTGTGTTATGGATCATTCTTCACGTTAATTCACACATCAATTTTGTCCATATCGCTAAAATCCTTTAAAACTTTTTAAGGTCTTATGGAGTTGACTAATTTGGTTCAACAAGCCGACGTTATGCAAAAGTGGGAGCTATGAACTGGACTGTTTCATCCGATTCGGTCTGGTTATACTAAAAAAATATACTAATTTATTGACGTGAGTCATGACACACAAATCGGGTCGGAATTTAATAAAAGAACTACAAGAAAAATAAGATTAGAAAGAACTACTTCAATCTCATCGTGGTCTCAATTCTATTTAACTGGGTGGGAAGCTCAGTGAACGTATTGATTAAGTTTAGGATGGCCCATTTGTTGAGACCAAGAGTTGGCAAGCATGTATCCCAATTGAGGGGGTTTAAAGTTGATATTTCTATGACAGGTTTTAGAATGAATTATGCACCAAAATATTATAGTGGCAATAACGCAAGTTCCAGCATCCCTAAGCATGAAGATGTACACTTCAATATATAACACTCTCAAATTAATTGGGTAACATTGAAAATAGGGTCATCTAGCCTTCTTAAAATAAAATGAAATAAGGTCATTTTGCCAACCTGACATGGGAGGGGAGAGATAGAGAGAGGGACCTTTTTGACACGTTTCTTTTTAGAAAAGTGACAAATTCACCAATGTAGTCTTGGTGCAGATTCTGATCTCCAAAGATTTTGGCAGCTTTCCTTGCATTGGTTCTTAGCTGCTCTCCTTCCTCTGCCATCATTGTATGCCTGAGCGTTTTGGCCATCTCATCTTTGCAAAACGACCCATCTTCTCTTCGTTTCACTTCAACAGCTAGACCCTTCTCCACGTGAAGCCTTGCATTCAAAGGCTGATCAATAATGAATGGCAAAACAACAAGGACATGCCCAAATTGCAGGGTTTCAATTACAGATCCCCATCCAGAGTGAAACAGAGACCCCCCAATTGATGGGTACCCCAGAATTTCCATCTGGAGCACCCATCCAAAGCAAACAAGCCCCTTATTTGATGTGCCCTCAATAAAACCGGGAGGCAAAACATCAGCTTCACTGTTAGCCCAGTTGGATTTTAATAAATAATAATTAGTAAGGTTTTGTTTGGTCTTGCTATATTCAATTCTAGTCTCTATAATTGGAGAATGAGTGACGTCTTAATTAGCTTTTAATTGGCCATTAATTTGCAATGCAATGTGGTCTTAATTTGCTTTTTATTTATTTATCTCTTTATTGATGAGTTCTAGACGGATCAAAAGTAAACATTGTAACAGGAGGATCAAAAGTAAACATTGTAGAGAGGGAAAATCCTTGATGCCTTAATCAAATTTGGGGATTATTATTTGATCCATTATTCTCTTTTACTCCATACATATTGTGATGAAAAGATCAAGTAATTACCTTGATATTTCCTTCAGTTAATCTCACCCCAGTTTTACCAAGAAACCGACCATTCAAATAATTGGCCTCAAAAGCAAAAGAAATCACTCATTGACCCACTTTTAGACTCCCATTGGAGACGTCGGAGAGATAACTGACAAGAGAAAGCGTGTGCTTACTGTAACTACACGGTTTCAACCTTTTTCAACCTTTTCTCCCGTCTCTCTCTCTCTCTCTCTCTCTCTCTCTGTGCTGGCCACTACGGTTCAAAACTTCATGACTTCTATTACTGCATATATATCGTAATTGCCTTGATATGTCCTTCAAATTAAAATCTCACCAAATAAATGTTTTACCAAGACACCGACCAGTCAAATAAATGGCCTGACGTGGGGGGACCCTATAATTGGTCTCTGAGCAGAACTTGTCTGAAATGAAATGATGCCCTCCTTCCTCTTCATTGAAAAGCAAAAGAAGAAATTATTTCTCATCTAAAAAAAAGAAAAGCAAAAGAAATTACTCATTGCCCAAGAAGATTTGGACTCCCATTAAAGACCAGAGAAACCGTGTGCTTATTTTTCTTTTTGACTCAGACATGGCACAATTTTGTGTATTAATTAAATTTCTGAAATCCAATTGGGATGAAATTTAGGCCAAAAGAGAAAAAGAAAAAAAAGAATGGATTTTCTTCTCGAGATAATTTATAAAGTTGTGGGAACTCTCTTTAAAGAGGGCGAGAAAAGCAAAGGTAAAGAAACAACTTCCATGAAATTTAATGCGCTTCTTCCTCCATATTTCATAAAAAAAGAAAAAGAAAAGAGAAACCGTGTGCTTGCCACTACACGGATTCCAAGTATCTGTCTTTTCTGAGGTGCTAGCTTTGTTTCTTCTTGTTGGTTTCTTGGCTGATCTTGAGAAGTATATTTTGTGAGTCTGGCCGGCTTGCTGGTCTTACAAATTCTCTGGCTTTGAAATTTTTTCGGTGTTGAGGTAACACTAAGCTAAACTTGTTGGCTTGCTTCGTATCTGTTTTGTTCAGGTAACATTAACTAAAGCATGTGCAGTTTTTAGTTCACTAGTGTACTGATAAGGCTTTTTCATGCCAACCCATTGTTTCAAACGTTGATAACATCATGACAAGACGACCCATTTTCCTCTACGTCGTCCTTATTTTTCCTCTGGCTTAACTAAATTTTCATTTACCCAATAAAAACCTCTCTAAATTTTAATCCTTTTCCTTTTGCAAGCCATTTATCTTCTATTTATTAGTTGAGTGTTTGGATTTTTAAAGATTTAATTAGCGAAAGGCTTATTTTCATTGAGTGTTTACAGCAGCAGCAGATTGCCAAATGGCATTCAGCACCCAAAGAGACTCTGCCTTTCTTCCTTCACCTCATCAGTCTGCTCCTCAGCCGAACCACGATGTGTTTTTGAGTTTCAGGGGCGAGGACACTCGACTTAGCTTTGTATCTCATTTATACCACGAATTGCAGCACAGGGGGATTAAAACATTCAAGGATGATCGTGAGCTTGAAATAGGGACACCTATTTCTTCAGAGCTCATCAAAGCAATCGAAGAATCAACGCTTGCAATCGTTGTTCTCTCGCCAAATTATGCATCTTCTTCCTGGTGCTTGGATGAGCTTACAAAGATTCTCCAATGCATGAAATCCAAGGGCACAATTCTGCCAGTGTTTTATCATGTGGATCCCTCCGATGTGAGAAAACAAAGCGGCAGTTTTGCGGACGCCTTCACTGAGCATGAGAAAAGGTTTAGGGAAGACATCGATAAGGTGAAGCGCTGGAGAGATGCTTTAACAGAAGTAGCCAATTTATCTGGGATAGATTCAAAGAATGAGTAAGTTTTTTCGTAAGGCATTTGATGTAACTTCATATCTTGTTATATGTATGTCTTATAGTTTAGACTTCATGATCCTTTTACTTTTCCTCCTTGTAGGTGTGAAAGAAAGCTTATTGAAAATATTGTTGAATGGGTGTGGATGAAAGTACATCGCAGATTCAAATTGTTAGATTCCAGAGAATTGGTGGGAATGAAGTTTATACGTGAGCATATAGATTTGCTTTTAGCTCATCCTACGGATGATGTTCGCTTTATGGGGATATGGGGGATGGGCGGAATTGGCAAAACAAGCATTGCTAAGCTAGTTTATGATCGCATTTCTATCCATTATGAAGTTAGCAGCTTTCTTGCTAATGTTAGAGAAGTTTCTCGACGTGGTGATCTTGTTAATCTACAAAGACAACTTCTTTCCCCAATCTTAAAGGATCAAATTACTCAAGTTTGGGATGAACAGTGGGGAACCTCTGTCATTAAGAATTGCTTGTATAATAAAAAGGTTCTTCTCATTCTTGATGATGTGAGTGAATCAAGCCAACTTTTCAAGTTGGCTGGTGAAAAGGATTGGTTTGGTAAGGGGAGTTTAATCATTATTACAACTAGAGATAAACGGTTGCTAGATCAGCATGATATACATATATCACATAAGGTAGAGGCGTTAGGTGATGATGATGCTCTTGAGCTCTTTAGTCGGAACGCCTTTAAAAAAAATGAGCCAGCAGAAGGTTATTTGGAATTGTCGAAGGGTTTTGTAAAGTATGCCAGAGGACTTCCACTAGCTCTTAAACTTTTGGGATGCTTAGTGTATAATAAGAAAGATCAAGATGAATGGAAAAGTGAATTGGATAAGCTGCAGAAAATTCCTAACTCCAGAATTTTAGATTTGCTCAAAATAAGTTATGATGGACTGGATGAGATGAATAAGGAGATATTTCTTGATGTTGCATTTTTTCATAAGTGGAAGGGCAAGGAGGAAGTAATCGAAATACTAGACAGTTGTGGGCTATGTGGTTATGTTGGGATAACTGATCTCGTTCAGAAATCACTCTTAACTATATCAAATGGGGAAGTTGAGATGCATGATTTGATACAAGAAATGGCATGGGAAATTGTTCGTCGAGAGTGTCCTGATGAGCCTGGTAGACGAAGTCGATTGTGCAATCATGGTGATATCTCTCATGTATTCATAAACAATACGGTAAGAAGTTATATAAAAGATACTAAGTTTTGGAAGATTTATGATTTCTGTTTAACACAATTTTAAACTTAATTAATGATATCTTTGATGTATTCATAAATAGTATGAGAAGAAGTTATATAAAGATAGTTTTGGAAGATATATGATTTCTCTTTAACACATTATTAGACTTAAATGTGGAATTAACTTTTCTTTTACTATTCTTAATTACAGGCAACGGACAAAATTAAAGGCATCAGATTACGCATGGCGACACTTGAAAAGGAAAATTGGAATTGTGAAGCCTTCTCTAAGATGCTTAACCTGAAATTTCTTGAATTTGACAATGTGATCATTTCTTCAAGCCCCAGAATTCTTCCTAATTCCTTGAGAATTATCAAATGGGGTTGGTATCCTTCCGGGTTTCTCCCATCAGGTTTTCAACCAAAATTTCTTATTGCACTTGAGATGCCTAATAGCAAACTTGTTCGGCTTTGGGATGGAAGAAAGGTAAGAGTAGTGACCATATGCCATTCTAGAAATTAGTTTTTTTTAATTATTTTAAATATTTTGTTTTAAAAATTAAAATAAATCTGAGCTAATTATCTATTCTACCGTTGTTTATGAATTGTACAGGACTTGCCCAACTTGAAAAAAATGGACCTTGGTAACTCTAAAAAGTTGACCTCAACCCCGGATTTCAGTGGCATTCCGAAGCTTGAGGTGTTGGATTTTGTATTTTGTACGAATTTGACAAAGATTCACCCGTCAATTGCAGATCTCAAATGTCTTAAAATGTTGTATTTTGATTATTGCTCAAAATTGAAAAAGATTCCAGAATTTTCAGGGCAAATGAAAAATTTGTCAATGCTTAGTTTACTTGGGATATCCATTAAGAAATTACCTTCATCAATTGGATTTCTGGTTGGCCTTACTTCTCTGTATCTAGATGGTTGCAAGAATCTCGCGGGTCTTCCGAGTGAAATTTGTAATTTGAAGTCTCTTGAAGTACTGGATGCGTCTGGATGCCCAGAAATTGACATACTCCCAGAGAACATGGGGGAGATGGAGTCTCTTAGCTGGCTTGAATTGTATGGAGGTTATTTTAGACATCTGCCACGCTCTACTGTTGGTTTGAAATACAGGCAAGATTTGGGTGGAAAGGGATCACAGCCTAATAAATCAAGGTTTGGGTGGGGCCTTTCCGGTTTATATCAAAACAGAAATGGTTTTGTGATAAGTTCGTTAGATGGTTTATTTTCTTTGAAGTATTTGGATCTGAGTAATCGTGGACTTTGTGAAGGGGATCTTCCCAGTGATATTGGCTGCTTGACCTCTTTAGAAAAATTAAACCTTAGTGGAAACAATTTTGTTAGCCTTCCTGCAAGCATTGGATGTCTTTCTAAGCTTCAGTTCTTTTGGGTGAATGGGTGCCAAAGGCTTCAACAATTGCCAGATCTTTCTAAGCTTATCTCCTTAGAAGAATTAGACCTTAGTGGAAACAATTTTGTTAGCCTTCCTGCAAGCATTGGATGTCTTCCTAAGCTGAAAGTACTTAAGCTGAATGGGTGCCAAAGTCTTGAATGGGTGCCAGATCTTTCTAAGCTTATCTCATTAGTGGATATAGACATAGACGGTTGCACTTCCTTGAAAATGTTACCACATCTTTCGTCAAAGTACTCATTGTCATTAGTGGATAACGAAGTACATGTTCGTGTGTTTAAAAGCTTTGTTGGCAATGAAATCTGCGATAGAATAATGCTGAAAAAGATACAGCGATACATTGAGGTTCTCCTCTCTCTCTCTCTCTCTCTCTCTCTCTCTCTCTCTTTTGTTGTTTGCTATAATAATAATTTCTGAATTTCTGAATTTCAGAAATTATTATTATACAGCAAATCTGAATTTCTCTCAACTTGTAAATATTTTCTCGCTCTTTTTAATAACTGCACTTTTTATGATAATTTTCAACTACAGAGAGAGAGCGAGAGAGAAATAAAGAATGAGTGAATATAAAAAAGGGTGAAATTAAAATAAGAAAAAAAAGAAAAAAGTTTTGTTTGTGTGTAATGAATGATTCTTTTCCTGAGAGAGAGACCCAGTCCTCTTAACAAATTGGCTGTCTACAAAGAAAACTTGGTGCTTTCGATCTGTGACACGGGTTGCTCCCCATCCACTGTTATCTCTATCTCATCCCCACAGATCTGGCAAAAAGTTGATGAGTCTTTCTCTTCACCAAAAAGACAACACAACAAAACACAGTTCACAGTACGCTGACGAGTGTCACGTCTGACTCGTGCAACGTGTGACCGAAAGACTGGTAAAATATCGCGAGAAATTGAGCCTCAGCTGTTTAGAAAAGGTTAGCAAGTGATGGCCATCTATTGCGTTGCTATCTGCCCGCCTTCCTTGAATTATTTTTTTCTCAATCCAGTTTTAGGTCGTTTCTGCCCGCCAAAATAATTGGAAGCGAAACCCTAGAAAAAGAAATGAAATTGGTGAGGTTACCTTCGGGTTTTGGGCTGTGAATCTGCTGTGATTCAAGATCGAAGGAGTAGTTTTTGGTTTTTGGTTTCAGTGACGTTGAGAAGTTGAATCAGAGAGAGTACAGTTGGTGGGTGATTTCAGTTTACGCCAATCTGGTCGATCTTCTTCTCGGTTGGATTGGATTTGGACCCAATTTTTAATTTTTCGAATGTTTAATTTTAAAAATGGTGGGGGGTGGAGCCCACGTGAGATTATTCGCCGGAGAGCAGAGCTCTAGCTCTTCCCATATCACGTGATGGACGGTCGTGATTGGATTAGCGTGTAGATTTTTGGGAGCTTGGCGTTCGGTTTCTGGCATTCGGTCGCGGGTTTTGGCTCCATCAACCCGTCAATTTTCCCACCTGCACGGGACATGTCATTTTTCATTTTTCTTTATTTTTATAAAAATAATTAATATTTTTCTTTCTTCCTTTTCCTTCCTTATTTTTTTCCTAACCAAAGAAAATGCAAATGAGTCAAGAAACATTACTTACAAGAAGAAGATTGTTAATTTAAGCTCTTGATGTTAGCCTAACTGGTGGTATGAAGTTTACGATAACCAGAGTTAAGATTGAGATAGGTTAGGAGTTCAATTCTCTGGTTATCATTGAGATAGGTTAAGAGTTCAATTCCCTCCAATATAACAAAGAAGAAGAATGTTAATTCAAAATTTACTTATTATAGGTCTTCTTTTTAATTGTCAGATAGCCACACGTATACGATGGACTCCACATGTTACAATCATAGTGGTTGGGACCCGCTGCGGCCACAGGAGAAACTTTCCGACTGGGAGATTGGAATGCAAAAGATATTAAACCCAAAAATTGAAAAATAAAAAACAAAATTGTAAAAAAGAGGGTAGATAGAGCAAAGCAAAGCATATATAATTTGTTTTATTTTAATTTTATATGCGGTCCAGATGGTTTAAGATACGAGTTGATCGTACAGTGCCAGAGGTGCCACGTGTCAAGAGGACCCCACCAGACTGGCAGTGGAATTGATTTTGTGTCTGTGGCTTTCAGTAGCTGTCAGATTAGTAGTAGCCCTATAAATAATAAAATAATATTTTTATGCTCTTGAGTCTTGGGGTTAAGAGCCTTGTGAGTGCTATTTTGTCGGTGGAATTGGGCTTGGGCATAAATAAATGTAAAATATAAAAAACATATAAAAAACAGCCCGCGGTGGAATTGGCTTTCAGTACCTTCTTCAACTTTCAATTCTGTGAAACAAAAATCGTAAATTTTGTTGTGAACTTTTATTTTTCTGAGATAATGTTTTTTTTTGGGGGGAGTGTTTTTGTGATGGCAGAAGACAAAAGTTATTTATGTTGATTATGATATGAGCAAATTGTCTGCAATAAGTACATATTGTTTGCATTAGATGACATACTATTACAATTCATTTTATTTAATAAAAATTAAAGAATGTGTTCACCGCTCTGCATCTGAGTTCGAATCCTCTTCTATGTAGTTTAGATTAGATTAAAGTAAAATGTGACTTAATTGAAGAATGTTTAACCAAAACAAAAAGTGTTTACCTATAAAAGAAGGACCCATTTGTTTTGACCCCATGAAGAATGAATGAGGTAGAAGTGAAGTACTCATTTAGGTTTTCATCATTTGGGTTGGGTAGGTGAAGGTCATAATATTTCATCTTTTTTTGGCCTTAAAATGTGATATTTCCTTGAGCATGAAGTTTGAAATTGATTGAGTTTTTCAAAATTCATATGATATGGGTTGATGATGAAAATTAATTTACCATTAGAACCATGTATAATAGGAATCATGTTAGTGATTTGGGTATTAGTGGATTAGCCCAACCCAGCCCCATAAACAAAATTATATGTAAATCCCAATCCACATCAATCTGTAAAGCCCAGTTGTTGTTTTTTTTTACCCAAGGCAGCCCAGCAGTTCACCCTCCCAAATATGCTATTCGTTTTAAAACTTGTCAATAATTATTATCGAATTGTTTTTTTTCATTGTGTTTTGTCTGGATTTTAATTTTTGATTGGTGTGATTTTATTTTGATAGTTTTCTCTAATTAGCTTCAAATCACAACTAAAAACTTTGTTTAAACTCATGAATATTATTCAAGGGTTATTGAAAATCATGTTGATAGCAATGACTTTGATTTTCAAGCAAGAAATCAAAGAAATCGCAAACTTGGAGTTAAATTCTAACAATACTTTTAGAAAGCTAATAAATCGAGTGGTATTTGTCTGCACTTATTTGGAGGAGGTCTTAGGTTCAACTCATATAAATGACAAAAACAATATATATATTTGTCATTAGTTTGATACCTAGTTAATTGTGGCTACTATAGCTAGCCTCATTGTAATGGTGTAGCCTTATTGTGAATGTATAGGCCCGTTGTAGAAGTGTCATGTAATTATGCTAGTCGTTTGTAAAAACAAAAAATATAGTAATTGATTATCTACAATGACAACATAACCTCCATGAGTCCATGGCCAATAGTAAATTGTAATGGTATCTCATTGGACGCATTGTCATCTTAGGTTTTCAGTAACATTAACATAAGCATTAAGCAACAAAAACTTATCATTAAAATTCAATAGCAAGCTTATTTAATTTATTATCTCACCTTTGAAGCTACATACAAAAATATGTATCGACAATATAGGGTTTTGGTTATTATTTGTCCACGTTTGTTGAAACTAATTAATTTACTTTTTGATATGAACATCTCAACGGCTCATTAGTATTTAATTAGTTCTTTAAGTCTTAATTGCCCACTAATTTTGTAATAACACATGCATGAGTGATATTAATAATAATGATCGACGAGCCTCTTCACCACCCCCTTTCTCCATGCAAGTAAAGGTTTTGTAAATCTAAATTCCTCTTGTTGTGGCCTCTATATATAAACCTTTGGATTCTCCCTTCCTCACACATCACATCGATCTCTCAATCATCCAAAGTGAAAATGGCAGCTTCTAACCTCTGCCGTCTCACTCTTCTTGCGTTGTCGACCATGCCACCATTCATAGCCACCACTAGTGCTCGCTCTTTGAACTATAACCTGATTGGCTCGAAGTCAAGTTGAATTTGGATGAAGAATCATCGGACTGTTGGAACTCTTTGTTTCAGCTTCAGGCATGTTCTGGTGAGGTTGTCATGTTTTTTTCTGAATGGTGAGACTTACTTAGGGCATGGTTGTTGTAAAGCCATTCGAACCATTGAGCATCAGTGTTGGCTTGCCTTGCTTGGTACGCTAGGGTTTACAACCGAGGAGATTGATGTACTCAAGGGTTATTGTGACGAAGCCCATCATATTGAATTCCCTTCGTCGACACCATCATCACCTGTTGCTAATAAACCTATTAATTAATAAAATAATTATGGTATGTAGAAGTTGGTTCCTCCAAGAATTTTTTTTTTTGGGGTAAGATTATAAAAAATTATGTATGCATGTCTGCTATTTTAATAAATTAATAATTAGTAAGGCTTTGTTTGGTCTTGCTATATTCAATTCTAGTGTCTATAATTCGAGAATGATTATATTTCTTAATTGGCTTTTAATTAGCCATTATGTCAATTGCTTATAATTTGTGATGTTGGTGTTCGACACATGCAATATGGATGTAGTTATCAAAAGGAGAGATGGAGGCCAAAACAATATGATTAAGAAAACATTCTCCGAAAACGTTACCGATATATATATTTATCATCAGTTTGATACCTACTTACTTATTGTTACTAGCTAACCTTATTGTGAGTGTATTGGCCGGTTTTAGAAGTGTCATGTAATTATAATAGCGTTTGTAAAGAAAAAAAGTAGTAATTGATTATCTACAATGACAATATAACCTCCTTGACAATATAGTCTTGTTGGATGTATTGCCATCTTAGGTTTTCCGTAACGTTAACATAAGCACTAAGCAACAAAAACTTATCATTAAAATCCAATAGCAAGCTTATTTAATTTATTATCGCACCTTTGAAGCTACATTCAAATACAGTTATGTATCGACAATATAGACTAATTGAAATTCCCTAGAATGGCCAACCGATCTGTTTCTTAATACTTAAACACCACAGCAGGATTGAAACACAGCAACAATCCTGTAAACAAAAAACTCCAGAATACCTAACGGAATAAATTCAAATTAAAACGCAAACAATTGCACAAAGGGACACACGATATGTTGACGCAGTAAAAACCTCAAGATGAGGAAAACAACTGCGGGTACTATGCCGAAGAACAAATCACTATGAGAAAGAATACAAAAAGGTCTTACAAGTCTCAACTCACAAAACTAACGCTCAAAGGCAGACTTGCCTACTCGCCTTTGCTACTCAACCCAATCAGCGATCTTGTCTTCCTTCGTCAACAAGAGATGGCACAACTCTGGTCTCGGCTTCTCACACCTCAAGGCACGATTGTTGATCACCAACATGCATAATGCTCATGACTTCACACATATATGAAAAGATGATGATTTAATCACTCATGGAGGCTAACAAGGAACAGCCACATGAGTTTTCAATATGAACTCTCAAAAACCTCTGCAAGAATATTTTTGTCGTTCTCTCTTTTTCAACATTGCAGACACACCAAAAAAAACGGCTAAGTTCCTTTCTTAAATTCCACGCTTAAAAAAACTAGGTCAGAGACCAAAAAAGGCTTTTAGCAAAAATGGGCTTTTTAACAAATAAAATATTTCTTTAGAACAAATAAAGCCACTTAATTAAAAAACCCAATGTAAAGACAACAGAACCCTTTTACTTAAATAAAACCATCGTTAAAAAACTCACTGATGTCTAGGCACTGGATTATGTAAGACTGAAACCATATATCAGTCTTGTACATCTGACAACCACTTTTGATGACCTTACAAATATGCAAATATGAATGCATGGATGCAGAACATACCTTGGCATTGTCTCTGAGCCACACTGAACCAAGATAGCAGAACGTCACTTGAAAACTGTAGATTACACGCAAAGACCTACCCTATGTTTTTGTAACAGGAAATTGCCAATATACCAAAAATTGTTCCTAACACTAATTAATTTACCTTTTGATATGAACATCTCAATGGTTCATTAATATTTATGCTTCTTGTGAGTATTTAATTTTGACTTTTGTGCTCCTCAAAAACTTCATGACTTTCTGTGTCAAGAAGATAAAGAGCGCATTAATATTTATGCTTGTGAGTATTTAATTTTGACTTTTGTGCTCCTCAAAAACTTCATGAATTTTGACCTTCAAAATCAAAATCATGTATTTGTGTGTTCATGAATGCCAATCTTCACCGAGCAATTATCTAGTGCGCCGCTTGCTACTTTGGCAAA